GAGAGGGAGAGAGAGAGAGAGGGAGAGAGAGAGGGGGGACACAGAGAGAGGGAGAGAGGGAGAGGGACACAGAGAGGGAGAGAGAGGGACACAGAGGAAGAGAGAGAGAGGGGGACACAGAGAGAGGGAGAGAGGGACACAGAGGGAGAGAGAGACACAGAGAGGGAGAGAGAGAGAGAGGGACACTGAGAGAGGGAGAGAGGGACACTGAGAGAGGGAGAGAGGGACAGAGAGAGAGGGACACAGAGAGAGGGAGAGAGGGACACAGAGAGAGGGACAGAGAGAGAGGGAGAGAGGGACACAGAGAGAGGGACACAGAGAGAGGGAGAGGGACACACAGAGAGAGGGAGAGGGACACAGAGAGAGGGACACAGAGAGAGGGAGAGGGACAGAGAGAGGGAGAGGAACAGAGAGAGAGGGACACAGAAAGAGAGAGGGACACAGAGAGAGGGAGAGGGACAGAGAGAGAGGGAGAGGGACAGAGAGAGAGGGACACAGAGAGAGGGACAGAGAGAGAGGGAGAGGGACAGAGAGAGCGGGAGAGGGACAGAGAGAGAGGGACACAGAGAGAGGCAGAGAGAGAGAGAGAGGGGGGGACACAGAGAGGGAGAGAGAGAGGGACACAGAGAGAGACACAGAGAGAAAGAGAGGGACAGAGAGAGGGAGAGAGGGAGAGGGACAGAGAGAGAGGGACACAGAGAGAGGGACAGAGAGAGGGAGAGAGGGAGAGGGACAGAGAGAGAGGGACACAGAGAGAGGGACAGAGAGAGAGGGAGAGGGACAGAGAGAGAGGGACACAGAGAGAGGGACACAGAGAGAGGGAGAGACACAGAGAGAGAGAGAGAGGGACAGAGAGAGGGAGAGAGGGAGAGGGACAGAGAGAGAGGGAGAGACACAGAGAGAGGACAGAGAGAGAGAGAGGGACAGAGAGAGGGAGAGAGAGAGAGGGACAGAGAGAGGAGAGAGAGAGAGGGACAGAGAGAGCGAGAGAGAGAGAGGGACAGAGAGAGGGAGAGGTGAGAAAGGGAGAGACGGAGAGAGAGAGAATCGAAGAAAGGTACGTGAGAGACAGAGGGAGAGATGGGAAGAGGGAGTGAGTGAGTGAGTGAGAGAGGCGGTGAGAGAGCGAGAGATGGGTTAGAGAGGGAGGGAGTGAGGGGCGGGAAGAGAGAAGGGTAGAGTTGACGTCAACCCTCACGTCGGGGGCGGGGAGGGTGGGGGTTGGGGTGGGTGCTGGGGGAGGGGGTGCTTACCTGCGGGCCGGGCGTGGGGTGGGGGGGTTGGGGTGGGGGGTGGGGGGTTGGGGTGGGTGCTGGGGAGGGGGTGCTTACCTGCGGGCCGGGCGGTGGGGTGGGGTGGGGGGTGTTGGGGTGGGTGCTGGGGGAGGGGGTGCTTACCTGCGGGCGGTGGGTGGGGGTGCTGGGGGGGGTGGGGGTTGGGGTGGGTGCTGGGAGAGGGGTGCTTACCTGCGGGCCGGGCGGTGGGGTGGGGTGCTGGTGGGGGTGGGGGGTTGGGGTGGTGCTGGGGGAGGGGGTGCTTACCTGCGGGCCGGGCGGTGTGGTGGGGTGGGGGGTTGGGTGGGTGCTGGGGGAGGGGGTGCTTACCTGCGGGCCGGGCGGTGGGGTGGGGGGGTGGGGGTTGGGTGGGTGCTGGGGGAGGGGGTGCTTACCTGCGGGCCGGGCGGTGGGGTGGCTGCCGGGCGATGACTGGAGGGAGATGCACAGGTCGTTGTCCAGCGGGAAGCGCCATTGACCCTCTTTCCTTTCTCCGTAGATGCTGCCTGACCGGCTGAGTGTTCCCGGCGATGCTTGCGTTTGCTTCGGCTTTTCCAGCATCTCCGGTGGGCTCGGGTCGCACATGGTCACTTGCCGGCTGTCGGGCGCAGTTCCCCACCGCGCCCCGCAGAGGGCGACAACGCGCTTGAAACTCCGGAGCGGGTCCCATTGAGAACCACCGCCTCTCGACGTCTCAGTGATTCTCCACCGGTGAGAGAACGGGACCCCCTTTGGGCGACAAAACACAGTGACGTGACGAGGGCCGGACCCGAGGGGGTGTGAGCGCGGTGTTTTCCGGGAATCTTCCCCCCGGGAATCTCTCCCGCGTGTGTGGGTGGGGCGTAGGGAATTCTCAGCTTGGCTTAGGAGACTCTTAAGGATGGGGTCGATGGCAAAAAAAAAACCAATCGCCCGGGCACTAGAGGCGGAGGAGAGCAGCGGCTGATTGCAATGCTAAAGAACAGCTATCCCGCGTGTATTTATGTACACGTGTGGGTGTGGTTGTGTACATGTATGCGCCTGTTCTTGTATGTGTTGTGGCAGGCTCGATGGGGTGGGGGCGCGGGGGGCAAATTCTGCGTCAAATGGTCTCTGGCGGATCCACGTCCCCCGACCCACCCATCCCACCATTGGCGGAGAGCCTTCAGCCACTCTGCCCCCAACCTCTGGAATACCATCCCCCAATCACTCCGCCTCACCCCCTCCTCAGCCTCCTTCAAGTCCCACCTCAAGACCCTTCTGTTCGACCATGCCATCGGCCACCCCCCTTCCCCTCCCTTACCCCCCCAATCCCAACTCGGGATGGAAATGCTGTCACTGTCCAGCGCCTTGGGACATCCTCCCGACATGAAAGGCGCTATACAAATGTAATCTTGCTGTTGTTGTTGGATGGGATAGAGGGAGAGGAAAGCATGACTAGACAGTACACACACGTGTACCCACGCATATACACAAACATGTACACACACAAACCTCCACAGTGATGGCATGTCTCATACACCCAGTTGCGGGAAAAAAAACACGATCTACACAAATTTACATTTACACAGCGCCGTTCACATCGGGAGGATGTCCCAAAGTGTTTAACAGGTTCTGTCTAAGCACCTGAGCTGGGCTGCCAAGCGAAAACGCACATTATAAGCGAAACGCACACTTTCCAGCACTTCTGTTGTTGTCAAAATGCCTCAAAACGCTTTCGAGCCTTTATGGACAAGGGTGTATTTTGTGGGCGAGCGCACCAGCCAATTTGTGCACAGTCATTACACTTTGCAGTAAAATCCCGTGAAGTGCTTTGAGACGTCCTCGTGACGCTGTATCAACAAGATTATTATTATAACACCTCGCCTCACCGAGAACAACATCTTGAAGCACTTCGAAGGGTAGTCCCCGTCACGTGCAGTGACTGTGTTGATTGACAGAACAAACGAAACGACATTTCTTCCGTGGTAATTTAACCCGTTTAATTTCACTGGTGTTCCTGAATTGGAATTATTTGTTTCTCCCCCGCCGGGTGTCTGACACGCGCGGAAACCCATCACCGTTGCTCAAGAGTCTCCAAACCAAACTGAGAATGCCACACATCCCTCCACCACATGGAAATCCCAGAGAGAGATTGTGGGGATGGAATACACTCTCTCTCTCTCTCCCCCCAGAGGAACGCATCCTGTTTACCTAATTCCAGAAAGTATTAGGCGCAGGTTGGCAAGAGCCAAGGCTTGGGGACCCCAGAGTGTGTGTTGGGGTAACTGCTGGAGTGTAACCCCCTAAACCCACACAGTTTGCCATTTGTATCACTGTCTGGCCAGCTTTTCCGCTGCTTGTCCAGCGAGGACCACCCTCCCCGTTAGGGCTTTGGCTGCAGGGTTCACAGGAGCTGAGGGGGAGGATTCCCTGTCCCCAGTGACTGGTTCTCAGTGCTGGAGCCTCGAAGCAGAGAGTTAAATGAAATTGTTAGGCTGCGCCCAATAAATCCGCCCTCTGCTTACACTGTCTTCACTTCAGTGGAGTGAACTGTGTACCTTTGTATAAAAGGATGATTAAGAACCCGTCTTGTGTGTCGCTGTGTTTATAACGAAACATTTTATACTGGATTAGAGACGCCGCCCTGATTGATGCTCACTTCACAAAGTGAGTCCTCAGGTTCTCTAGTTCCCTGTTAAACCAACCGGAGAGACTGACTCACAAGGTGAATGACACTGGAACTCCATCAGAGAATTCACCACACAGGAGGGGGCCGTTTGTGTCTTTGCTGGTGCTCACTCCCCAACCCCACCTCTCCCCACTGGAGCTCTCTACTCTAACCCCATTCCCTGCTCTCTTTCTCTCTCCCCATCGTGTCTGTGCTGGGGCTCACTCTACATCAGAAAGTTGTGGACATCAGATCACTTTACTGTCACTGTGTCTCTCCCTCTCTCTTTCTCTCTCCCCCAGTGTCCTGGCTGACCATCCCCCAGATACAATCCCTCGCTCACTTCAACGGCTGTTTCTTTGTGGGACGCAAACTGGCTGCCACGTTCGCCAACAGAGCACGCAGTCACCGCACTTTACAGTGAATCCCGGGGAGCGCTTTGAGATGTGATAAGGCGCTGGGTGACTGATGTGGTTGTCAGTATTAGTCTGTGCCGGAGTAACCCAACAGTGTGTTTGGCTTTTGCTGTTGGGACCCTGGGCTCGGGCCGGGAAGATTCCCTGCATTGGGGCCGAGTGGCCGTTGTTTCCCTCATTTCCCCCTGAAAACTACCCTCTCCATGACTGTGTACTTTGTGGGTGAAACGTGGCAGCCAATTGTGCACAGCAGCGTCCTACTATTTTTCGGGGGGATTATTACTCTCGGAAAGTGATCCGTCAATCCACTAACAACCGAGTTCCCACTCACTGCAGAGGGGTGTGGAGTGAGGAAACCTGCCCAAGGATCTGCGCTGCCCAGGAATCGTACCCAGGTCCTCTCGCTTGCGAGCCGAGCGCAGTGCCCACTGAGCTCCGGGACTTGTTATGGTTCCGTGGTGAAACACTCGGCTATTTGTCCCGACATATAAACAACAACAGCAACTTGATTGTATACAGCGCCCTTCGTGCAGGATAGCGTCCCGGAGCGCTTCAGAGTGTCACAGTCTGACCACGAGCCGAGGGAGAGAGGGAGGGGGGGAAGCGGACCTTAAGCACAATCAAAAAGGAAGGTCTTTTGGTGGGATTTGAAGGTGGGGAGAGAGACAGGAGGCAAGGCGGAGGGAGAGAGTTCCAGAGTTTCGGGGCGTAGTGACTGAAGGCACGTCCATCGATGCCTCGTTCCCACAGAGAGATGGCAGGGAGGGGTGAGGAGAGGGGGGGAAAGAATGAGAACTAAGTGTTTTTTTTTCTCTCTGTTTGACTTGCCCGCAGAGTCCAAGATCTGCCCCCCATGTGACAACGAGATGAAAGCTGACGTCATCCTGGAGCACTTCTGTGCCAGTGAGTTTGGTAAGTCTCCGCTATTCTGGGAAAGATTCCCAGGATGCAGGCGCTATCCCAAAAGAGAAGGGAGTTCCTCTCTCTCTCTCTCTCTCTCTCGCCCGGTGTCTGGCCAACAACAACCCATAGTCACATCCTGTTATATCCTGTTAACAGTTATATCGTGCGAAGCGCTTTGGGACATCCTCCTGATGTGAAAGACACTGCATCGAATGCAAGGAATATTATTCTTATTTAAAATGCAAACATAATAATAAGAATCCTCACCTTCGATCACAGCCTTAACCAAAAGCGTTAAAAAGGATTATGCTGGAACGTGCAGTGACTGTGTGTGTTTTGGGGGTGAAGGCAGCAGCTAATTTTGCGCACAAACTAGCTGGGGTTCGTCCCCACAAACAGGTGTGAAGCGAGCGAGCAAGAGAAAGAGTGAGCGAGCGATATTATCTGGGGATTTCCGTCCGTTGTGATTTGATCGATACTCACACACTCGATGGTTCAGCTGCTCAGATTAGATGATTTGGGCCGGAGTGGTTTTCGGTGGGGATGGCATGAGGTGAGGGGGGGGGAGAGGAGAGAAGAGGGTCACCTACAGCGTCAGCCGTCAAACTGGCAGCCAGCCGGTGAACATCAAGTAATCCCTTTCAGACAACGGAGGGTTATGAGACAGACTCACTTACGGAGAGGCAAACTGTAAGGATTTTACTGTCACAACTCATTTGATTGCTTGTTTCGTCATTTTATATTTAGTTTGAGATAATCCTAACAAAGCTGTAAAATCTCCTCGTTAGCAAATGCCACTGGGTTGACTAATAACCATATTAATCTGTGAGGAATAATTAAATTGAAGGGGACGGGAAAAGAGCAGGGAATGGGGGGATTAGAGTAGAGAGCTCCAGTGGGGGAGCGAGCCCCAGCACAGACACGATGGGGAGAGAGAGAGCAAGGAATGGGATTAGAGTAGAGAGCTCCAGTGGGGGAGCGAGCCCCAGCACAGACACGATGGGGGGAGAGAGAGAGAGAGAGAGAGCAGGGAATGGGGTTAGAGTAGAGAGCTCCAATGCGGGAGCGAGCCCCAGCACAGACACGATGGGGAGAGAGAGAGCAAGGAATGGGATTAGAGTAGAGAGCTCCAGTGGGGGAGCGAGCCCCAGCACAGACACGATGGGGAGAGAGAGAGCAAGGAATGGGATTAGAGTAGAGAGCTCCAATGCGGGAGCGAGCCCCAGCACAGTCACGATGGGGAGAGAGAGAGAGCGAGGAATGGGGGGATTAGAGTAGAGAGCTCCAGTGGGGGAGCGAGCCCCAGCACAGTCACGATGGAGAGAGAGAGAGCAGGAAATGGGGGGATTAGAGTAGAGAGCTCTAGTGGGGGAGTGAGCCCCAGCACAGACACGATGGGGAGAGAGAGAGAGAGAGAGAGCAGGGAATGGGGTTAGAGAGCTCCGGTGGGATCCCAGTAAAGGGAAGCTGGTGGATTCCAACCAATGTAACATCTGTTTGAAATGTAAATGAATGTTGAGGCAATTACACAGACATTTCAAAACACATCAACTGGTAAGTAAGTGCAGGTTTTATCCACTCTGTATGCCAACTCACCAGTAAACACTGCTCTTATTTTCAAGAGTAAGGTTCACTGCTGGCGGAGTGAATTTTGGGCAAGTTTCCTTACTCCACACACCTGTTTACTTAGCAGTAAGTCGGTACCTGATTGTTGGTCAATTGGTGGATGACTTTCTGGGGGTAATAATCCCATCAGAAAACGGTCACTCAATCCAGGACAGTTTTGTGTGTCGCTGCTGTGTGCAATTGGCATCGCCCACAAAATATACAGTCAATTCACTTTACCCGTGAAGTGCTTTGAGCCGTCTCGACAATGTGATAGGGGGCTGTATCAATTGCAAGGTTGTTATTATGAGAGTCAATAATGGTGGGGATGGCTTCCATGAATCAGTGAGGGTTGATTTAAGAAGGTTTTGACCTTTGATTTGTAGTAAGCCTTACGTTTCTCAACCTTTTAAAGGGAGTTGGTATTCCCTGCAATCAATCTGCTCTGAGACACTGCTCTGCGCAAGTGACGCTATATTATAATACTGCATAATAATAATAATTCTTTTGATATAGCGCCTTATCACGTCTTCGAGAATTCTCAAAGCGCTTCACAGAATATACTGTAAAGTGAATTGACTGTATATTTTGTAGGCGAAATTCAGCAGCCAATTGCACACAGCAGCGTCCCACAAACAGTCGTGGATTGAGTGACCAAATTATTATATTTTTATCAGAAATATAAAAATTATATTTTATTCGTCGATCTAAATCCAAACCTAAGTGCAAGTTGTTGTTGTTGATGCCGTCTCACTCCACCCACACTTCCTTGTGTGTCTTGTTCCCCACTCCTCCCCCCCCCCCCCCCACCCTACGCAGCGCTCAAAATGAAGATCAAGGAGATCAAGCGGGAGAAAGGCGATCGCAAGATCCTGTCTCAGAGGAAGAAGAAGGTGCTGAAGGCGGGGCCGCTGAAGAAGAAGGACTTGAAAAAACTGGTTCTGTTCATCAAGAACGGGGCGAGTTGCCCCTGTACCCAGCTGGACAACCCCAGCAGCAACTTCCTGATCATGGGGCGCAAGTGGGACAACCAGCTCCTGCTCACTGTCATCCACAAGTGGGACAAGCGTAACAAGGAGCTGAGGTATGCCGTCAAGATGATGAAGAGCTACCAATGTCCCACCTACCACCATGTCTTCCAGTGACTCCCACCCCCAACATCTGGGGACAAGATGGACTGAGGCCCCGGCCTCCTAATAAGCTTTTTATACTCGTGGCCTTCAAGCAGTGCTGCGCGCTCTCCTATTTACCCACCCCATCCACATCCCCCATTTCCTCTCCTTCCCTCTCCCTCTCGCCGTTTCCTCTCCTCCCTCCCCGCCCCTCATTCTCCATCCCCTCCCCCCCTCCCCCAATCTTACTGAGTGAACTTTTCTTCTTGTAGTGATTGGTGGAAAATCATCAGAAATGGCCGGGTGGAGTGACAGGTGAACAGAGGTGCATGGACAATAGGGCAGTGAATGAGATGAGGCTTTTATTTCTCTCTCTCGTCGCTCCCTTTCCAAATAATCGTGACACAAGGTTAACCTGACGTGAGGGAGATGTACTGTGACAGAGCAAGCTTTCCCACCGCTTGTCCAACTACCTGTTAGGGTACCACCTTGGCTGCAGGGTTTACAGGAGCTGAGGGGGAGGATTCCCTGCCCCCGTGACTGGTCTGTCCTTCCAAGTCCTGCTGATGAGCCAGGCCGGGCTGTGCTGTCATCAGCAGTGAGTGCCCTGGGATACTGTGGACGCTCCTGGCTCAGGAACTGGACTAGAGACCGTCACAGAAGATTGTGGCTCGACTCCAACATTCTGTAGCCAGGCCTGTCACCTTGGAGCCAGTTCAGCTCCGAGGAGACACCCCGCTTACCCATACCCGCCACCCCCCATCACCACCTCCGCCCAGAAGACAGTCGTGTGACAGAGTGAGAGGAGAGAGAGAGAGAGAGAGAGAGAGGCGGAATGCCACACCACAATGGGCACCAGTTTGCCTCGGATGTTCCTGTGGCCAAAGCGGGTCTGACCGACCCGAACCGAAGGAGTGTTGATCAGCTCAAGAGGTTTAGTGAACTGCCCGCACTCTCGGGCTAGTGAACTACACCCTCTCAGGGTCAACTCCAAGAGTATGAGGGCGGTGAACGGGTTGCTCGTAAAAGACCCGGCGGACACAATTGGCCGAATGGCCTCCTTCTGTACCGTAAATAACTTTGGCACAACGGTTTGGTGAGAACTGTGAGAGAGATGATGCTTTGTGGGCTTTGTGGTTACAGCAGTGGGGGAAGGGGGGACAAGGGGAGCAGGGGAGGGGGTAGCAGGGGAGAGAGGGAGGGGGGAGTGGAGGGGAGAAGGGGAAGGAGGAGAGAGAGCGATGGGGAGAGAAGAGAGGGATGGGGAGAGAAGAGAGGGATGGGTGGGGCGGTGGAGAGGGAGGTTAGAGGAAAATAATCTGGTGATACACAGAAAGAAAACACTTTTGTAATCTCGGGGGTTTAACTGCGATTAACCCCTTCACTGCTAGCAGCACGCAACCCCCCCCCCCCAACCCCTCCCACCTCCACAACCCACTGCCACCCCCTAATCCATTACATGGATTAACCCCAGGGTGATCACTATACTGTACTCCGCAACTTGTTAACAACGGAGACTGATGTCAATGTACACCTATGTAACAAAGTCTGATTTTCATGTATTCAAAAAGCAATTGATTCACACTGACCGGTTTCCTCTCTCTCTCGCTCTCTCTCTCTCTCTCTCTCTCCCCCCGATGGCCTGTGCTATTTGCGACGCTGAAACCACTGAGCGCAGGTCGCACTGAACAGGAACGTTTGTTTTTTCTTCCATTTTTAATAGTTACAGAAAAGAATAAACCGAGAAACGTAATCAGAACCACGACACCTCGTGTATCCCAAACATGTCTGTTCCATGTCTGTAATGCGCTGTGTGTTACAGAGAGAGAGAGAGAGAGACGGGCTGGAATCTACTCCGGGGATCAACAACAACAACAAAAGACATTTACACAGCACCTTCCAAAGTCGGGAGGATGTCCCAAGGCGCTGGACAGTCAGGGATTTGGACCCGAGCTGGGGGGGGTCGGGATCAGGAGGGGTGGAGAGAAGGGGAAAGTGGGGATAGGAGGGTGACCGAAGGCGCGGTCGAAGAGGAGGGTCTTGAGACAGGCCTTGGAGGAGGCGAGGGAGGGAGTGAGACGGAGGGACTGTGGGATGGAGTTCCAAAGGGTGGGGACAGGGAGGTTGAAGGCGTGATCGCCACAGGGGCTGTGGAGCAGGCTGGAGCCCACTGAGCGGAGGGAGCGGACGGGTCGATGTGGATTATATGAACGATAAATGTTTCAGGGGGTTAATATACCCTGGGGAGTGAGTGCCAGGCTGGAGGTAAATCTTGAGAGACAGGAGGGGGCCGGGGCTTATACAGAATAACACAAGCTTGGGAGTGAGTTAGACGGGGCTGGAGTCCGGGCGGGATGGGACGGGGCAGGACGTGGTGGTTTGTGTACAGAGGATATCACTATCACAATCCACTGACAGCTGCAGGTATTTGCCAGATGTTAGTGAGCGATGACAGCCACTGGAGCCACGGGCAGGAGGTGGCCTGGTGATACCCACTCACCTGTGAACAGGCACTGTCAGGTCAGTCAGAGAGGGTCCACACATAGCTCAGGGCACCGACACCTCCGGGTTAACGAGACACAACCCCCACCAAACCTGTCACCTTGGGCTCCAAACTTGAAGCACGTAGAACGTCTCAGAAGGATTGCAACAGTTTCCCCTCCACACACACTCACGCACATGCACACCCACGTAATGATTGGGGGGGGGGGGGGGGGGGCTTGATTTTGCCTGAATTAGAGTTCTCTCTGCCACAAGCACACAGTCACTTCACTTGACAGCAAGTGCCCTGTGAAGTGAAGAGACGACCCATAATAATAATACTCACATTTGATGGCGCCTTATCACGTTGTCGAGACGTCTCAAAGCGTTTCACAGGAGTATACTGTAAAGTGTAGTAACTGTATTTTATGCTCGAAACAGAGCAGCCAATGCACACATCAATGTCCCACAAACAGCCACGCAGCAAGTGACCAATTTTATTTTGGGGATTGTCGGCCAAGACATCGGGCGAGAGAGAGAGAAACTCTCCTCTTTTCAAATATGGCCACAGGATCTCTAACGTCCACTTGAACAGGCAAACGGGACCTCGGTCTTAATAATAATAATAATAATTGCATTTGATACAGCGCCTTATCAAGTCGTCAAGGCATCTCAAAGCGCTTCACAGAATATACTGTAAAGTGAATTGACTGTATGTTTGTGACCAAATTATGATTATTATTTTTCGCTGAGCGACTATTATTCCCGGAAAAAGCTAAGGTTGGGTGACGCGACACTCTCCCAGCGCTGCAATGGAGCATTAGCTTAGACTGTGTGATTCCAAGTCCTGACTTGAACTCATAGTTTCGAGCCAGAGCCGGAGCAAAGCAACAGCAAAAGTAAATAAAATGCACAAAATGCCTCGTCGTGGAAGGTTTTAAGAAATATAATTTCCGCCTCTCTTCAAAACTTGTGTGTTTAATTTTGAAAAGTTTTGTGGCTAATTACCTAGAATTCAGAACTGGGTAAAATGCGGGGAGACTGGCTGGAGCTGGTGTGTGTGGTTTTGGGGGGCGGGGGGTGTGGGGGCCGGGTGGTCAATCTGTGGAATGTCATTCGTAGATTATTGTTTAGTTAAGGCTGACTTGCTGTGAGGAGTCTGGAGAAGAGACTGCAGTGAGGAGCAGGAAACAACTACAACAAATTACAATTACACAACGCCTTTCGCATCACATCGGGAGGACGTTCCAAGGTCTGGACAGTCGAGGGTTTGCACCCAAGCTATGGGCTGGAGTCAAGAGGGGGCAGAGGGCAGTAAGATTGTGGAACTGGCTGCCTGAATGGTTGAATCAGACATCTGATACAGTGGGGGAGCGAGCCCCAGTACAGACACGATCGAGAGAGAGAGAGAGAGCAGGGAATGGGGGGATTAGAGTAGAGAGCTCCAGTGGGGGAGCGAGCCCCAGTACAGACACGATCGAGAGAGAGAGAGCAGGGAATGGGGGGATTAGAGTAGAGTGCTCCAGTGGGGGAGCGAGCCCCAGTACAGACACGATCGAGAGAGAGAGAGAGAGCAGGGAATGGGGTTGGAGTAGAGAGCTCCAGTGGGGGAGCGAGAACCAGCACAGACACGATGGGGAGAGAGAGAGAGCAGGGAATGGGGTTGGAGTAGAGAGCTCCAGTGGGGGAGTGAGCCCCAGCACAGATAGTGAAACTTTGTCCACGTGGAATCACTAATTGAGATCAATCTTTTAACCCTTTAAACCAACATTGGCATCAACGATCATGTGAGGTTAATCCGGAAACTCAACAGGGCCTTGCGTGGGGAGATACATAGCCACACCCCACCCCACATTCATCACCTTTACCCTCAGTCATTGCTGCCTGGTTGGCAGCTCAGAGCTGTCGCTGGGTTGACTACCCACGATAACGCATGTGTGTGGAGTCCCGTAGCGAGGTGGTTAGCGCGATCACCTCGCAAGCGACAGGACCCGGGTTCAATTCCCAGGCGGGGCAAAGCCTTAGCCAAGGCCTTACTCCACACGTCTTTGTTTACCCAGCAGTAAGTACGAACCCAGTTGTTAGTCGATTGGGGTTAATAATCCCCTCAAAATAATAATAATTTGATCACTTCAATCCACGACTGTGAGACGCTACTGTGTGCAATTGGCTGCCGCGTTTTATTCACAAACTATACAGTCAATTCACTTTACAGGGTATCCTGTGAAGCGCTTTGACACGTCTCGAAGACGTGATAAGGCGCTGTATCAAATGCAAGGATTATTGCCTCTGGTGACTAACGATCCAGTGACGGTGACCTTCGGGATGAGATGTTAACCCGAGATCCCGTCTGTGCCCTGTTCAGGAGGATGTTAAAGATCCCGCGACGCTATTGGAAAAGAGAAGGGAGTTTCTCTCTCCCGCTGTCCTGGCCGACAATCCCCCAAATAAATATTCACTTCTGCGGGATGTTGCAGTGTGCAAATTGGCCGCTACGATCTCCTACAAAATACACAATCTTTATCACTTGACAGCTTCATTCAGTTCTAGGAATGTATCAAACCTACACTGTACTTTAGTGGTTAGTGAGGGACCAGCACAGATATTTATCTGTTGAGAAGATCTTGGGAGAGAGAGATCACACAGTCTTAAGGTTACATTATATTATACTAATACGGTAAGTCCTGTGAAGCCTTTGAGATGTGATACGAACAACATGGTACGGCACTATGTCAAATGCAAGGATTATTATAATAATAAGTGAAAAAGATGATCCTTATTGAACCAAACTCTCTCTCTCTCGATTCCTACCACAGGTCACTGGCTTGTGTCCCTCACAGTGTGACCTTCCTCCAATCTCAATGCTGCCATATCCACATACAACACCCTCTGCTTATCAGGGTCACCCAGTGACGGGTCATACGATCCTTCGTAGGTTAGTTTAGCTTGAAAAATATCCTCACAGTCCCACCCTCTCAACCGCTGCACCCCACACACGTCCCGCAACCCCCCCCACCCCACACACACACGTTCCCTTTCCTTGTCCCCATCCATCATCAATCTTCCTTTCAACACTGCTCGTCGTATGTTTTAAGTGCAGGTGGGAGGCATGAGCTTCTCAGTTTGGTTTGGAAGTTCCTGAGCATGGTGATGGGTTTGGGTGTGTGTCAGAGACCCCACTGGCAAATCAAAAGCGTTACAGCAACGTCTCGCAAACAGCCGTGAAGTGAATGATCAATCAATCTGTCATATTGTTGGCCAGGACCCCGGGAGAAACTCCCTCCCCTTTGTGTCACGGGATCTTTAACATGCGCCTGAACAGGGGTGGCCAGGACCAAGGTTTAACGTTTCACCTGACGGACAGGTCGACAATGTAGAGCTCGTTCCCCCACCTCACCCACACACAACACACACACACACACACACTCACACGCCAGCCCCCCCCCACCCCCCGCCAATACTCCTCTGGGGTGTCAGCCTGGACTGTGAGCTCAGCGTCTACATACTTATCCTTGAAACACGAATGAAACGTTTACTTGTGGATGTTAAACACAATCACTGTCGCGGGCGAATGATCTAACACGCAGAGTGTGAGAGGTCCTTGCTCTGTGACAATGATAGTAAGACATTCATGAATCACAGTGTCTGAGGAGAGTGCTGCCCACACATGTTTCCAATCTGCAGCCCCACATGGAAATTATTATATATTAATCTTTTTTTCATACATAAAAAAATCTACAGCAAAAACAAACAAAGCATTTTGTTCTTTCATTTCGCTAACTTTTCTCCTCTCCCCCAAAGACGACTTCTCCTATTGCCTAAAATGGGGGCGGGGAGAAGGGGGAAGGGGAGCAAGCTATCACTGGACTGTTCACCCCCAGCGCCCGCTTCCCCACAGCTCGGAGTGAGAGTCCAGCACTAACCCTTTCACTGCCTCAGCCTCACAGGATTGAGGCCGAAATCCTCGTGCTCACCTTTACAGCCCTCCACGGTCGTGCTCCTCCCCACCTCCGCAACCTCTTAACACCATAACAATCTCTCCGCTCCGCTCGCCCCTGTTCGGCTGGCACTGGCCTGCTCCACGTCCCCCGCCTTGCCCAACCCACCATCGACGGTCGGGTCTTCAGCCTCCACGCCACCTCTACCCCTCTTCTATACCCATACATATATTCTCCATCTCCATTATTACGATACATCAAGTCTCCTCTTACAGTCACCTGAGCAGGGAATGGGGTTAGAGTAGAGAGCTCCAGTGGGGGAGCGAGCCCCAGCACAGACACGATGGGGGGGAGAGAGAGAGCAGGGAATGGGGTTGGAGTAGAGAGCTCCAGTGGGGGAGCGAGCCCCAGCACAGACACGATGGGGGGAGAGAGAGAGTAAGGGATGGGGTTAGAATAGAGAGCTCCAGTGGGGGAGTGAGCACCAATGTGGATACGATGGTATGAGTTGTGTCCTCCGGTGCTGTAAACGTTCTGGGATCCCATAATGAGTATCTGGATGTTGGACAGACAGTGAAGTCTAAGTGCCAGGGTATGCAGACACTTGTCCTGCCATGTTTTACAGACAAGCTGGTGAGACAGGGCTCTGTCTAAATAAAGGCAGCACAACTAGGATATATTACAGCTTTGCTTTGAACTCGGCAGCAGAGAATTGAGTTGTTTTGGCAAACAGCAAAGCTACATAACTTGCAATCCCCGCAGAAACGCAGTCACGTTCTATCTATCTCTCTATTTATTTATTTGTTTTGTGGTAGAAACACAAACTAGAAAGGCATTCTTCCAGCACGTCAACCCGTCCATGATCTCAGATGCGAAGTGTAGTGACTGTATGTGCGTGTGTTGTCCAGGGTATCTCTCTTCCGATGGCGCGTGGGATCTTTAACACCTGCCCCAGGTCACCCCATAGTGAGGACTTTACATATCGCTGTTACAATTCCCAACGGCCTGTTAGGAACCACTGTGGGGAGCCGTAAGATGGTGGTTAGCGCCCTCGCCTTGCAAGCGAGAGGACCTGGGTTTGATTCCTGGGAGGGCAAAACCTTACTCCACACGC